CGTTGTCGTGTAAACGCAAATCGTTTTCAATCGTTGTCGTGTAAACGCAGCCTGAAGTAACGTCTTCTGCATAGCTACGGGAATAAAGTAATCCCTATGTCACTTCAGCTCGTCCTCCTTATTGCCATATTTAAATTGTTGTCTCCTCGTCGAAATATGTATCTATTATTGCACGATTAAAGAGGTCAATATATGAAATATAGCAGGAGTAAAAGACCGAGGTCCCCCGAAAACAAATGTAAACAGAACTTGTCCAGTCAGCGAGTGCGACAAAATGGCACAAAACTGACAAGGAGTACTGAGAAAGTCTGCGACCTGGTGTCAGCTAGGTGTCAGGTCGCCAAATGTCTCAGTACTCATTGTCAGTTTTGTGCCATTTTGTCGCGCTCGCTGATTGTATAAGATCTGGATACGTTGGTGGACAGTTAGTCATAACTTGTCACATTTTGTCCTTCTCTTTTTCAACATAGTTCTTTAAAATTCCCTAAAGTCCTTGTTGTTTGGCCATGTCTGCATCAATTATATCCTTTTTTACATTTTTCTTTTGCATGAATTCATTGTGTTCGCTTTTCCGGTACAAAAGAGGTTCCCGATTAAAAGCAGATCAGGACCGGAACACCTTCCACCATCGCATCAAGTTTAATAACTTTTTCAGTTTGGAATAGAATATTCACAACCTTTAACAACATATTTTGAGGTGAGGTCCCTGCAAGAGTCATCGGGACAAAACCGTGAGCATGCAAAACAATCTTTGGCGAATTAAAACTATACGGATATGAATCAAAACAAGTTACCAGGATGAATATGGCTTTCATTCCTTACACCTCGATAAACCCAGCCAAGTTAACTTTTGCAATGCGTTAATAAAATTAATAGTGACGAGACAAAACATTAAGTATCAATTGACCACAAGACTTGGCCATTATGTAGGATATGACTACAGAAGATAAGAAATCAAAGATCGAAGCCCACCTTTACAAACCGGCGCATAAGTCGGGCGGGTATACGTTGGGCTCTTGATGTGTGGTTATGTGTTTATTCATTGTATATTTTAATTTTTGTACCGGAGTGGAACATTTGAACCATCAAAAAAGGCTCTGAGATGGTATCTATACACAGACTATGTTGCTTAATCACCATGTTAGAGACAATGTGCTTAACGCTATACGTATTCAGCGATTCGTCAGAACGCGATACATTTATGAGGTCACCACTACAGCAACCACAAATAGGAGTACCGAAGGATTTTTGTTTGCCGGAGCTTGCAAGAACTCGTTTTATTTTCTGGCCAGAGTCCCATGTAAACCCTATGTCTAACTTACTGGACGCACAGTGCACTATTTCTATCACAACTGAAAAATCCCGTTCTTGAATAGGACCAATGGCTCGTATGGTAGCGATTCCATGTCGCATGTGGCACAGGATGCTATGCGGGTATGCCTCGCGATGAACAGTATAACCTAAAGATGTTTTAATGAATCCTTTCGGGTAGCTGTTGGAATGATCAAACACGATGGCCCTGCTTTTAAAAACCAATACCTCAGCACGTAACGGGTTGTTCCGGGAAGATTCCGTCTGCACTGACGCCCGTTCTAACCCTGGCAACACATCAGGACTATCCAAACGTAGTTCCAGAACGAAAACAGAATCCTCACTAACTGGAGTGTCATTGTGGAATACAGCATGCACTCTACCTTTGCTGCAGCCTGATATCGGCACAAACACAGGTACTGGCCTGTCAGGAACTTGTCTTCGAGTTGCCCAGATTTGAATGCTGCAGGCTTTCAATGCGGACTCGGATACGGGTTTGCCTTGCCAATTGTTTACTGTTGCTGTAATTTCCGTTTCCTCGCCTACATAAGTGAGGTGAGCCTGGTTCGTATCGGCAAACGCACACTTAAACAAATCAATATCCGTGTTGTCCACAATGTATCCCATAACACCGATGTCTTCTCCCAAATCAGAAAGGCTCTGGCACTCAAACGTTACTCTCCGCATTTGAGAATAGTTCTCGTCCGCGAGGTGCTGGAAAGCACTTGCAAGATCCTCAGTCAGGCGTGGACGCATCTTGAGGAGGTCTTCATTCCTTAGAGCAGCTTTGGTGGTGGCCTTCAAACCTTCGGCTTTGACCAAAGCTCCATTGTACTCGGGAAATGTTTGGACTTGTGCCTCACGTAACGTCTTACTGTGCGATTCCACATCATTCCTCATTTCTTCTTTTTGCTGCTTGATCCGCTGAAGTTGCTCGTCGAAATGTTCATGTATTGATCTCTTTATATCAGCTACTTTTCCTTGTAGGTCACCACCAAATGCTTCAATGAGATCACCAGCGTGTTTCATGCCTGCCTCCACTTCCTCTTTCTTGCTTTCGGGGGATATGTTTTTCAGGCGCTTCGTGAGTCTGTGACGTAAAGCCGCAGCTTCCGCACTGACATCTCTAATCTGATCAGTATGAGATGCGTGTTCACTTTGGAGCTTACACGTTTCACACAAAACCTCCCGACATTTGTGGCAGTAATATCGCATCTCCATATTCCCGTGGACAGGGCAGTGATGGAATCGTCCGTGTTCAAGTATCTTATTCTGCATACCTTGGGCATCCATGGCGTGGGCGTGTGCATGGACGTCAAGGGAGCTGCTTGACTCTTGTCGGATGTCAACAGGGTTCCTATTTGTTACGGTAGACGGTCGAGGATCATGATGGCTTGCGACTGACCTTTTCGGTTCAGCATAATCCTTAGCCCTATTGAACATGGTGTCATCAACTAAAAACTGTTCGTGACTGCGAGCAGGAGGTGGACATGGCGTGGGACGTCGACACTTGGCACAGCGTATTCTCCCATCTTCTTGAACGCTGGCTGGAAGACAGTCATTGCACACCTTGTGAAGACACTTGAGGAGCTTGCCTGCTCTCTCCGCCCCATCTTCGCAGAACACACACGGTGGTCGCATCTTACAATCGTACAAATTAAACTGCGCAAGCTGAGGTTTTGCTAGGTTGGGGAAAAAACATAGAGGATATGAACTTGACGAATGACAATGAGTTCTTACAGAATTCGTAGGAAAGACCATGACTTGGAGGATGTGAGCTGATTATATTCCGTCACGATATGTGATTTCTGATTCCAGCGCCTTATTGGTGCACCACCTACCACTAACCGTTAAAGGAAAGATGTGCCAAATATCACACTTGGAATACCCTAACCACTATAGGAATCCGTGATGCGTGGGAGTAAAAACTGCCTCGCTAGTAGTTGAATCATTCCCTTGCTCTAAGAATCACACACGAGAACAAGACAAGTTAGTATTTTGGCGATTTCTGCAAACTTGTTTATCACTAGACAGTGCTTGAAAGCTGCAAACTCTACCCATGTGACCAGTGCCATGCCATAATATGCACGTTCCACAAATGTTATCTCACAACCAATTTCCACAATCTAGCGATACTCAAAATCATACTCGCATTAAACGCGCACAGAACTTAAACGTGGTAGTAGCTACTCCGGCAAAGATCCCACTGCATTCGTGTTATAATTTAGTAGTAGTAGTTACTATTTTTACTATGGCAATCCCCACATACTTCATTGAACTCCCACCAATCAAGGAGGTACATGTATGTGCTTGTAGGTATTCATCCCGGAAGGTGATGGTTTTCCTGCGGGTGCTGAAAACTCGGTCTAACCAAGTCACACACAAATTGGGAATTTGTGAGTGTCACGTTAAGTCAGCGAGAAAACTGTGAGCTCGACCAAATGTTGTGACCAGCCCATAACTTGACGAAACCTCGTGAAATGAGCATACTTCTGTCCACTTTCAAAGTGTGTCCTATTATGAGAGGGAGAGCGTAGCAACACATAGGCGTGCTAACTGAAATCAGTGTCCTACATACGTCACAAGCGAGGGTGCTCTCTGCATAATTTGATTCCTTGCTTTAATTAAATAACGCCCTCGATGTCCCCCCCCCCCCTTCACTCTCCCAGCTGGCTGGCTGCAGCATTCATGGAAGCAGAGACCACTGGTCGACTGAGACCACCGCCCCTTATCCTCACATCCATCTTCTGCAGCCCTATGTCATTAGACCTCCCAAATTTGTTTTGCTTCCTCTTCTCAACATATCTCCGGCATGCTTCTTCACTGAGTTGGGTGTGCGTATTTCAAAAATCAAAAAACTCGAAAAAAATGTAACTCGGATGGTGAGCCAATTAAATTATTGTGAAAGGAAGAAAGACAAAATGTTACGAGTAAAAAAACCTTTCCTTTTTTTCCCACCCATAGCTATATTAAAATTATTATTAATATTATTTAAACACACGGCGAGGAGACAATAATTTGATAACCGCAATCAATAAAACTAGCTGAACCGACATTTGTGTACTTTATTCATGCAATGTAAAAAACGGTGGAGACGATGTGCAATAAAACGTTTTTTTAGTGTTTATTTGAATTCGGATAGCTCAACAGTACAGAAGTACAACTACAAAGAGTACCGAATAGACCCGAGAACGGGAACTCAAAAAACAAAACAAAAACAGCAACATCAATTTACTGATTATGCACATTGCTTGAAAGCAAATCACAACAATGATTAAGAGTTAAGCTGTCTTTTAGCCAAACAGCCAATTTGACGCGGAAATCTGCGATAGTAGTGCAGGACTTCAGGTCGTCTGGTAAATAATTCCAAACAAGAGCCGATTTACTTGAAAAAGACAAAAAAGCCAGACATAGATCTATACTCACGACTCGCGTATAGTTGGTTGAAATATTACGACCTTCCACAGGTGCCAAACACATCACCATCAACGTTTCTGGCGACACGAGTAAAAATATCGCACAAACAAATCTGTAATAAACCTGTTACCCCTAACTCCATGAAGCCGTCCTATAGCCGTAACATTTGGTTCTCATGGCTCTATGTTCTCCAACCAGAGTATTGATTTTTTCTTCTATTATTACGCTATTTGCTTTCATATCGTCAGTTCATCGTAGTTCAAGTAGTGAGAATGCGGCCGCCTTGTGTGTTCTGCAGCGATGGTTGCCAGAAAGGAGGGAAACTCCTGAAGTGTCTGCACAAAGTGTGTTATGACTGCCTGACGTGCAACGTTCAGCCGGACGGGAGAATACGCTGCAAGACGTGTCGACGGGCCACACCTTGTCCGCCTCCTGGTCGTGATCACGAACAGGTGTTGGTCGACGACTCCATGCTCAACAACGTTACACAGGGTTCGGAGGAGTTGAGTGCAAGACGAGTGCGCCCCTGTTCTCGTCATCCGAGCAAAGAATTGCTGTACTTCTGTGCAGCATGTCGGGAGGTGGTGTGTGAGACCTGCAAGATTCAGAGCAGGCATGCATCACACCTTGATCGCATTGTGCACGCAACCACTGAAGCCACAGCGTTACGGCACCGACTGCACACAGCGCTGAACAAGCTGGTACCTGCGAAAAGGGAGAAAGAAGTAGAACGAAGTTTAGCATTTGCCGAAGAACTTCTGGAAGCAGCTGAATCGAATTTGAAGGCACATTCCGAAGCCACTTCGACGATCGGAGATGTGCTGTTTGCCAGGGAGATTGACGCTATTGAAGATCGCAAGCAGAAACTGCTGAGTAAAGCAGACGAGATATGCAGAGCACATGTCTATAGTCGAGAAAGAGCGTTGAGGTATTACAGGAGAGGAATGTACGTATCCAGGGAAGTGCACAATATAATTGACGCCATGAAAAGTGATGAGGATCTTCTGAAAATGCGGCCTAACGTTATAAGGGCGCTTAAGTCCAACACAGGGAACATTGTTTTGAATTCTGCATTGAACATATCTTTGCCACTGTTTCTCCCTCAAGAGCTTTCACATGTCCAATTGAGCATACAGGATCAGGGCAAGGTAGCTGATAACAGCCAAGTGGATTTGTCAAGGAGCACGTTTTGCATTTGTGATACTGTGACGTTTGTTAATAAGAAGATTTCAATTGTGGCTCAATTGAGAAAGAGGGATGGCACCCCGGTTACCAAGCATATGTTGAAGACCTCCAGCATCCAAATGTTTGCAGTTTCTAGCCTTCCGATTGGCTCTTTACCTTTAGCGTTAACGCACTACAGCGAAGGAGAGGTGCGCGGGGAATTTCGATACCACAAAAACGCAGTATTCCTTCTCGAAATGCATTTCAATACCCCTTCTCCCATGCCATTATCCAACTTGCGCCAGGCATTATGTCGCAGCGACACGGAGCGAGACAATCTTCTGGTAGTCTACGAGAACGCCGCTCTTTACATAGACCCGGAGAGCATTGTACCCGCGGGACACATGTTCACAGGACCTACAATGGATGTGTGTGGAACTGTTCCTTTTTGTTCTTTGATTCAGTTGAAAAATGGCCTGACCATAGCGCGCGCTCAGAGACCTCTGAATTTCAAATGTCCTGCGTTTCAAATCTATATATGGCAACATCCGTCAGAAGGGCTTGAGATTGGCCTGACATCAGGTGCTGAGGCAGTCAGTCATCGCGCGCAGTTCCACACGCTTGTATCGTCCAACAACGGTCACCGGTTTGGTCGTGCCTGCCAGGTCGGCGACTCGATCATAGTAAAGCGTTCACCCGGCTCAAGGGTGAAATATCAAATCAGTTGTCACTTTGCGAATGGAGAGGTCAGTGTTGCCGAGATCTTGCTTCCTGAAATAGACCAGCCCATACTGACGATAAAGATGTGTGAAGCTGATTGTGGTATTTCAGTTACTGGCGTAGTTCCGTAAGGATTATGGCTGAACCTCCGATTGGTCAGTGGACTGATGCATGCTCTTCGTTTCAGTGTGGTTCTTTCTTAGTCCACGCATCTACGCCCACTCCGTTCACATCAATGTGTTTTGTTTATGTTCGTGTAGGATTGTTAGATTTTAGTGTGCATTGCCCCTCCCCCCCCCCCCCCCCTCCTGCCCGTCCTAACTTTTTTACATTGCATTTTTTATCAGCCAGTGTTTGTGTGAGTTGTCGTATTGTCCCCTGTGTAGTTTCGTCTAAACCTGTGCCGATCGTTTGGGACACCCCTTCTCTGCAGGAAATGCATCGGCCTCCAACAAAGATCTTCTAGTCACAACGTGGCATCCTTCCACTTTGGTGTAGGATTTGGTGATTTAGTGTGGCAGGGTTAAGTGTGGCATCGTTTGGGCTATCCCTACTATGGAGGAAATAACATTTGACTGAGTAAACGATCATTAAAATGAGAAAGCATCGGCCTCTAACAAAGATCTTCTAGTCACAACGTGGTATCCTTCCACTTTCGTGTGGGATTTGGTGGTCTAGTGTGGCTGGAAACAATATGCTGGCACATTGTTTGTTTGTTTGTTTGTATACTTTATTTGAATTCGCTAATCCAAACGAGCACAAATGCTCAATGAGAAGGCAGCGAATATGTTATTATGTTACAGGGAAGGACAGTTGGGGAGAAAATAATGAGAAAGAAGAGAGAATGGTAGATATCTCAGTGAAGAGCGAAGCGTTATCAAAACTACAAGTGAGCCAGCGAGTGATAGTTCTGTAAACCGCCTTATAAGACACTCTTCAAACTGGGTACTATCTGCTAGCGAGAGGACTGCTACTAACATCGGGAGGGTTCGGAGGGTTCAACCCTGCCCTGCCAGTTACGGACTTATGGGGGTCACCATGGCAAATAATAATGGTAAACAATGAAAATCAATCACAGACAGGAAGCTGTCTCAGGGCAAGTTTATTTATATTTTTTTATATATTGGGAACACAGCCCTACAAAGAGACATGTGGAGACAAACACAAGACAAGACACAGGGGATGTAGGGACGATGTGCCGATGTACAGGGAGCAACTCGACCGACCAGGGGTCTCGGCGTTAGCGTTGCAACCTGGCATCGAAAAAACAGGGGGGTTGCATGCATGGTCAGGTAGCAAAAACAATAATTTGGTGCGAGAAAGGGGCGCTAGTATTGCACCAAATAATATAAATACGTGTAATGACTAAACCAGAAGGGAAAAGGAAGAAAGAGAACAATAATCATAACAAGCAAGTACTAGTAGAGAGGTAAATACTAAATGGGTCTCAATATCATCGTCACAGGTACTGTGTGGACCACAGCCATCTCTTTCGGATTAGATCCTTACATACGTTGACCTTGAAGGTTTGGAGCCGTCTTGAATGAGGCTCGTGAAGCAGGAGGTCCAGCAGGGCGAGATTGTCCGGCGCGGGTTTCGTGTAGCTGGCAGACGGAGCCGTAGGGCGAGATCCAGGCGCGTCCTACGATCCGCGCAGCGTACAAAGAGCTCCTGGAGGGATGGACTCGCACTGGCGTATATGCACCGCCAGACGAAGGCCAGGACCTTCTGCCGATGTACTTCTCCAGTCCTGAACACCTCCATGCGTTCCAGGAGATCACAGGCAGGGGAGCACCCTGGGGCCATAAACTGCTCTTACCCCACGGTTTTGTGCGACTTGGAGCCGATAGGTCTGGGCCGGAGTGAGTCCTGGGCTAAACGCAACGGCTAGCAAGTGTCAGTGACTTACGTGTCCGCCAGAGAGTTACAATTTTCTTATTAGTTTTCGTGATGATCGCATCGACCTGGGGCTGCCATGACATGCGTACATCCAAGTTGATACCAAGGTAGCGGGCACTGGTGACGCTTGGCACAGGCGTGCCATCGCATTTTACCACAACGTTGGGACTCTGGCAATGAGATCCTGCAAAGATAAGGAGCTGACTCTTGGTGGCGGTGAGGATGAGACCACGGGAGGCTAGCCAGCGAGCTAGGTAGGCTAGAGACGGCTGTTGTGAGCTCAGACGAACCGAGGTCAGCGCTGCGGCGGCTAGACGTCAAGGCTATATCGTCTGCAAACTGGATTTACGTTACATCTTGGGAGGCGCTACGTATTACACCCTCGCCCTAGCTACATTACCGGTAGTCTATAGTTCTCTCCATGATACTCTGTGAGCTCTTCTTTCTGTAACATACTGCTTCTGCTAACGTGTTGACATGTACTGAGTATGCCGAGGGCTTGAATTTTGGCACACTATTATCATTACGACTTATCTGAGATCTGATATGTCTGTGCATGGGAATTGCCAGTTGGCGGTTGACACAGCACCACCAGCATCAGCAGCAGCAGCAGCGCCACAATCACAACTATCAACACCACCACCACCATCAACACCACCACAACAATCACTACCCCTACCACTTGCTGTTGAGGGAGGCACCTTCACACCTTTGGTTCTCGCAACCAATGGTATGTGCGCATCAGAATGTTCCAGTGCATTGTCGAGAAGCAGTCAGAGCTTTTAAATTATTCAATAGGAATGTTTCATTTGCGCTGCAGGATCTCATTTATTTTTACTCTGCTGGTTGATTACGTGCTGTCATGGGTGCAGAGCTTCGTACTGCAGAAAGCGTGTAGCAATTTCATTTCTGGACCAATGCCGGTTACTCCAGTTGTGAGTGGAAGTGTATAAGTCCCTTCATGTGCTGTGGAGGCCTTCGGGTAATTTTAATATCCTCCTGCTGTAGTTATACTGTGGGTATGTAATACAATATTTGCCTGCACCTTTGTGGGTCCTTACATGACTAATAGCCGGCTGGTGTGCCATAATAGCATTTTTCATATTTACAATGGCTCTTTACCTCGGATGGTTCTTCACTTTCTGTATTGCATTTTGTGGATTGAGCAATAAAGATGAGTAAACAACAACAAAAACAACAACACCAACGACACCACCACCATCATCAACACCACCATCTGGCTATCGTGAGAATAAAGATTTGAAACAACAACAACAACAACAACAACAACAACAACAACAACAACAACAACAACAACAACAACAACAACAACAACAACAACAACAACAACAACAACAACAACAACAACAACAACAACAACAACAACAACAACAACAACAACAACAACAACAACAACAACAACAACAACAACAACAACAACAACAACAACAACAACAACAACAACAACAACAACAACAACAACAACAACAACAACAACAACAACAACAACAACAACAACAACAACAACAACAACAACAACAACAACAACAACAACAACAACAACAACAACAACAACAACAACAACAACAACAACAACAACAACAACAACAACAACAACAACAACAACAACAACAACAACAACAACAACAACAACAACAACAACAACAACAACAACAACAACAACAACAACAACATAAACCACCACCACTACCACCACCACCACCACCACCACCACCACCACCACCACCACCACCACCACCACCACCACCACCACCACCACCACCACCACCACCACCGCCGCCACCACCGCCACCACCACCACCACCGCCACCACCACCATCTGCCTCACCACCACCAGCACTGACTTGGGTAGACAACATCACTCTGACTGACTGAACTGGTCACTCCCGGAATGCTCTTACTCCCATCACTCAGACCAGAACTGGACATACATGTACGTGTGTGTCTTCCATTCATGATCTTGTTTTCCCTTGATTGACACCCCTACCATTACTCCTATCTATGGTATGTCAATACGTGTGTACATTCACTCATATGTAACATTGAAGTATTGATTTGTATCATGGCCAACCGGATACTTACTGGCTAATGAAGATGCCGGATGCAGAATGGTTCTGACAGATGTTCACAACGTGGACGGCACGTTTCGTCGCAGCTCTCCTGCATTCACTCATGGTGTAACCCAGACCCACTGGGGACCATATCATCTCTCTGTAGGCGCTTTCTTCCTCACACTGGAACTGCAATCATTCCCAGCGTGTGACAATCAGTCTACGCGGAAATCTCAGACACAGAATAGTGATGTTACCATTGCTTTTCAGACAATCAGCCTATGCGGAAATCATAGAGAACAAAACAGTGGCGTCAACGTTATTTCCTACAAAGTCAAGACACCTGGTCCTGCATGACAATGTGTCTGTAACAGCTGTCTAGATTATTGGAGAAGCAGTGAACGCGACTCCGCGAGTGAAACAGAAGTCAACCGACTCTCAGAACAGACATACAGGGGAGTAGATCACAAAATATGAGCTACATATTTGCAAGGACGGTTGCTCGCAACCCTGCAGAACTCCATAAGAACAAACTCAATAGACCGATTCTGTTGCTTTCGTTGTTGTCTATTTGATTCGCACAAGACACGGATACTGGACCCAGTGTAAGAACTAGCCTTTGCAGGGACAGCCTGGCCTTCTGGCTTGTGGAGTGTCGCAGGCATGGAGCAGCTGGAAATACGTATCAGTCTATCAGTATTTATAGTGATATATGCATATCAACTCCAGTTCGTGGGGAAAGTAAGCGCCACCTCGGATGTAGTGGATTCTGCGATCCCTGAACCCTTGGAACTCCGCTACGCCGCTCCTCAAACTATCGACTTCCTCAATGACGTATTCAGCCATGGAGATCCGTTGAAAGGAAAATTCAGTCCCCGGAATACAGTATTTTACCGTGAATATTCAGGCACGACGGAAATGATTACTAATTTCTATTTGCGTCACGGTAATGGTACACCAGGATATAGATTTCCAACGTGCGCGATATCAGGCTCATCGTATTCCGTGCGACAAAGCGAGACTTGGAAAAGTTTCTATCACCGGAGAGTGACGTTCATCAACCCGCATGCAACTGTGTATGCCACAGATCAAGTCAGCCGGGTGTAGCATCCTCGCCAGATAGACGGGCCTTAATATTCTACGGCTTTGGCAACTGCTCTAACAAAATCGTGTACAATGGAGACGGGAAAGCATTGGCGGTCCAATCAACTGGAGGAGAGATGGTACCATGGGCCTTCTATCCTGCTCTTGTTACAGTTCCGATATCACCTTCGACGTTTACTCTCCTGTCGTATGGTGGATCACTGTGCAACGACCTCCGCAATCCTGTTTGCCTTTCGTTTTCGGGAGATATCTGGAAGCTCTCCTTCACCATACGGAACACATCAAACAGTACAGTTAATGCTGGTAGATGGTCCAGGGCAAAAGTTAGTTCACCCAACGGCCGAACCCCCATTCTCAGATCCAATCCAGCAATGTTTCTCATCGATAAACAATCACTGATTGTGCTCTTCGGTGGCGTAGCATTGCATGGGAATGAGACAAGCAAAGTGGATCAAGAACTGCATCTGTTGAGCGATTTACGGACTTACAACACAGCCACAAATGAATGGAAAGAGCTCCATCCCCAGGTTTTGCCTACAACTATATGTTCATTGACGGACGAAAACCTCCGAAATGTGTACAACAAACAACAAGCGGTGTATGTGAATGACTACCAGAGCATGATTATTACCAGTCTCGACAACATGCAAATGATTCGAATAACAGCCTGCTCGTTTGTGCTGGGTGACGTTAAGATACGCTGTACAGATTTGGGTGTCGACATGCCGCCTGTACAAGGAAAACCTGGCAGTGCGCCCTTTTACACAATGGCCGCTGGAAATTTCGAATTTTACCTGATGTTCTATAACATTGGATCTACGAATGACTTGCACATGTTTTCACTTCGTCAAACGGCAATATCAAGTATCGGTGAAAGAGAACTGAGCGTGCATCCAATATATCGTCAAGATCTCATGTGGCAATTTCCAGGATATCGTAACTGTTATTCCGCTGCGCCAGTCCAGATGACAATGGAGGGCAATAGCCATGTCATGATGTACATTTTCCTTGGTGGATGGTGTCCAGGCCACAGATCAAGCCCATCGATTACAAAATACCCGGATCTTTCCCCATTAGCGGTATGGTTTTTGATAGCTGGATCTTACCATTCCTATTCCCTTATCCCAACCGTGCAAATGCTGCAGTTTGAACCAGGTCCTCGCCTCCCAAGGCGTATGCGCCATTCCGTTACACGGGTGGAGAATACAGCGGTGCTATTTGGCGGACGTCAATACTATCAGCCATCCATATTTGAATACAGCAAAATAACTTGGTGTTTTCCTCTTAGCGCTAACCGCTTCCACTGGCAGGCCGCACGGCTCTCTAGCTCCCGGAGTGTCCCACATCCACGGAGTCACCATCTCTCCTGTTCCTATACCTATGCCAATGTATCCGGTGTTATTATTCTGGGAGGAGTTCACGGTGCGACAACCTTTCACGATTTATGGCTATTGAACCTAACAGATCCAATGACTTGCACTGGCAACTGGATGGAGCTGACGAGCAGAGTGGTCGGAGGAAGAATTCCCTTTCGTCGAGGTTACTCTATGACAAAATATGGACTGACGAAGGTCATACTTTTTGGAGGACGATCACCTGACGATATGAGTTCGAGAAGAAATGGCCTTGATGATTTCGTAAGAACATCATATCTTACTCTGCTGGATTTTGCCTCCCTAAACACGATAAGATTGAAAACGATCCCCTTACAAGAACCAGTCCCTTGTCGTCTAAGGCATAGCCTTTCAACATACACAGCCGACTCCTTTCTTCTTCTGGGAGGCTACTATTTCCGCTCTGAGGGGCACGGAGAGCTTGCACGGGCCAACATTTCCCAACTTTTAAGAATCAACCAGGATGATTCCGTCAGCGTGATTTCGTTTTTCAACTATACGTCTGTTGATCATAGTGTTGTGCAGGACTATATTTTCTCTGGATTTCAAAAATACGTGCACCCGCGTCTGCTAAACAATTTGGTATTTTTGCGTCTGAAGCGAGACGAATATGGTCACAAATATTGCCCCGTAGGTCACGGATGGACTGAATGGTCATGTAAACCATGTGCAGAAGGCAATTATTCTTCATCGATCCTTGAGCCCTGTAAGGCTTGCCCGAGTGGCTTGACGAGCACAGTTTTGGGTGCGACTCATTGCACCGCAATCGATCCTTGCACCGCAGATTACTGCCACGGAAAAGGCCATTGCTTTGTTGACCGGCAGAACAGGCCCTACTGCAAATGCAACTTCGGCTACCTCCCGGATGACAACTGCAAAACACCGACTGTCTACCTCTCTCAGATGGCCGCCTTTGTCTTTGCGTCAGTTCTGGCCCTGTTATTTGCCTTTCTCATCAAGTTTTTACGAAAGCGGAGGGCATTGCGCCGTACCGAGGAGCAACTACAGATCAAACACCGTGACTTACGAAGGTCGGAGAGAAAACTGAATGAGATTAACAGAGGAGCTCAGCTACGCTGGACAGATCTAACAATCCGCAAGCAGCTCCCCTCAGGTACCTGCAGTAAAGTTTACGTGGCTGATCTGAGTGACATGGAGGTCGTAGCTAAGAAACTACCCCGCCACTACAGCCCTGCGAGGTGCCGTACTTCATCCTATGATATCTTTCTACAAGAGGCTGAGATACTAAGATCTCTGCGCCATCCAAACATTGTCCTCTTCCTCGGAGCGGGCCTGGACACGGTAGACGAGTGCCCTTTCTTGGTAATGGAATATCTGCGTCGGGGATCGCTGTACGACAATCTTCACGACCCTACAGTTGTAATTGAGCAAGTTGATGAATTGAGATTCGGCCTGGATATCGCTCGTGGTATGCGATATCTGCACAGCTCCAGTCCTCCCCAGATTCACCGTGATCTAAAGAGTCCAAATCTACTGGTCAGTGACAAGTGGGTAGTGAAAATAGGAGACTTGGAGTTTGCCAGGTATCTTTCCCTTGTGCAAAGCGATAACCAGCCCCGATCACGCCTGCAGACATCCATCCGCCCTGATCCAGGCACCAACAAGCCAACATGTAGCGAAACTGTAAGGCCGACGAAGGAGCACAACAGCAAACCAGAAGCAGTCGCTTTGACTGCTGCCCCTCCCCGGCGTGGTAGTGCTTTTGGCTCGAACAACCGTAACAGTCTTACTGCTCCACTCCTACAAGACGAAGAAGGGTCTTCTCCTCAAGCTGAGACAGCAGCGTCAAACGCCAATGATCGCGGTTCAATGTCAGATGGAGATGAAAGCAGCAAGAGAGCCTCTCAGCCGTGCACGGCTTCACAGCTGCCAACGCGTGTCGGCATGACGTGTGGCGTTGGAACAGACAGATGGCGACCTCCGGAGACACTGAGCAAGAACAGCTACACAGAGAAGTCGGATGTGTACAGGTAAGCCACTGTAATCTGTGTGGTTCGGTTCGAGAAGCGCAATCAAGTTGATGTATTATTTTCAAACCAGTTCGCACCTATGCGATGTGTGTTCGGAACCTTTCTTGTTCACATCATGCCCTATCATTATGATATCATTGCTTGAGCATATATGGCCTCTAGTGAAGCTACCTGGGTTTGTGTTGGTCTATTACTTCAGCTGTTTGGCTTTTAACCACAGATACGTACTGAATTAGCTGTTCAAACAGCTCATTCACCACACATATTAGGTTTGATAAAAGAGATACAGTAGCATTAGAATTGGAAAGGGAGGACTAGAAGTGTGTCAGAACGTTCAACAATCGTCACAACAATGATTGATGTCACACCGACATTCAACGACAGGCTGATGTTTAACGGATAACATGTAAACTACTGGTCCTCTACTTTTAAGTTTAATCCTTGGCTCTCCTTCCGAGTCTAATACTTGATTGAAGTAGGTAGCATTATTGGTCTGTCTCTGCCTGTGTCTCTGTTTCTATATTAACATGCTGTACATGTACTGAAGTTTATGTGGAGATTTGGGTTAAAATGATGATCCTTGCCCTTAAATGTGACCGGTTCCAGGGTTCCCTTCCTTTTAGAATCTTACGACTGTTAGGTCAGGGACATTGCTTTCTCTAAAGCTACTCTTCATGGCCTTGGTGTGTTTTCTAGCTATGGTGTAGTACTCTGGGAGATCTGCACGCGCCAGCTTCCCTACGCACACTTGACCTGCTCGGAGCACATCCATCAAGAGATCCTGGATGGCAACACACCAGTCTTCCCACCAACGGCACACTACTATTACCGCCACCTGGCCGAAACGTGCATGAGCGACGCCCCACGTGACCGGCCATCGTTCACTCAGATCGTGCAGCAACTGGAGCGACTGCAGGTGGAATCAGCTGTGAACAGGCAGAAGCGCGTGGCGAGGAAAGCATTTCCTGCACACGATTGAAAACCGAGATCAACATACACTTGGTGTGGCTGTAGTCCTCATTGAAACGCCTAGGCTCTCGCGCAACAACCCTGCCATAATACGCTGTGCATGAGAATGTCGCAGGGGTGTCACCATCCGTGCATTGTACAGTCTATACCATCACTGTGCCTGTCCTGCAAGCAGATATATTGAGTTACAGTCGCAATACAATGTACTCTTCGTAGACCCTGCCAGTGCACAGGCCAAGCAAATCATCACCCACATAATAATTATCGTGCAGAAAAGGTAGAAGGCGGTGGTGAGGTCCGTGCCTGTAGTGTGTGCCCTTGTGACACGTCCAATACAACCTGACCATGCCATGACCTCTGCTTCTGTTATAAATTTCATTGCTACCAATTCACATTGAGACAAAAGACAACCCACTGCTCCTATGTATTACTTTCCTATATGCTCTTATCACAAAATGCATCAGATGTTCTGAAGTCATACCTGTAGCATTGTTTCACACGATTTTGGTTTCACTGCGCTAGCCTGAACATACACGTATCTCTGCCTCTCCATCACGTGACTGGTTGGAAAACTATTTTGTCTACACGTACAGTAGTTGTACGTGTTCGTCTCCTACTGGTATCCTTCTCGAAATTCATGGCCACACATTATATCTCAAATTTTTATTCAAAATACGTTTAGCTCTAAAAGTTGCTGCATTTAACATTATCCATTATTCCCTGTACTTACCCATGATGGGAAGGGAACGAAAACGTTCGGTTCCTAAATTGGTTTAACTTGACTGTGTGGAGTGCGTCGCTGTTGACACTTCTTTCGAAATTGGATGCGCCTCCAATTTTGTCCCAGAATGTTAAACTTCCTGCTTCGTGTCACCATCGTCAGCTTGCCTATGAAAAAAGATGATACGGTAGGCACAAAGGCGTTCGGTGGTGCATCATGATACCCTAGCTACTACCATCACCAATTGTGTGCTTTCCAATGTGAATAGCTTTCCAAACTTTGTACACTCCGCGAGAGCATACTATTGATCCAAGTTGATTTTTTTAAATATTCTTTATTCTATTCGTGTTCGATATTGAATTTTTTACGAACATTTTAGTCTATTTCTTATCTTCATTCGTGTTGGGTTTAACTATTCACTGTGAAAATCAACAAAATCATTGATCCAAGGTGTTGTACATCTTTCTGCGTTTACCATTGCCTCCGTGTCCGAGTATAATGTTTCATGCGCCTAATGAACCTAGGGACTCTGAGCCTAAGGCAGAGAGTGTGAGCATTCGCAATGTGAACGAATAAAGCCATGTCCTGGTCCTAGTTCATCAATTAAGATCGGCTGCACACACATGTAGTTAAGATGTGGATAAAATTTCGCTACAGGGCATAAAGAATGCTTTCTTGAACAGCGGCCGACGTTGTACACAAATTGCATCGACATTCTACGACCCCTCCTCTATCTCTTCAAACTATGAGTAATTATGAAGAGTCCACGAGGAGACAAAAGAATAAGATAATACTGCGCGCTCATTCCAAGTGACCATGCACCTACACGTACACACATCAACAAGGAACAAAATAGTAGGAATCTGTCAGAAATCTACAATGATGACCAGTGCCAGTGAACAAAAGGACACAACGATGCCAGGAAATGGTAGCATGGTATAAGGAAGAAATACGCACTGAAGAGGATGAATGCACGGTTTAGCTATAACAAAACTTGGCTGATGAAAATGCCTATTATTATCACTTTTTACATTATGCTTGTTCGCATTGACATCACCAAGCAAGCTTGGCTAGCCTTCGCATAAGCAAAATGAACAAAAGAAAAGAGGAACGAGCGAAGCAAATGCCTAAAAAGACTTACATGTATATCAATGGCACATCGATGTGCTTATGAAAGGGAGAGAGAGAGAGAGAGAGAGAGAGAGAGAGAGAGAGAGAGAGAGAGAGAGAGAGAGAGAGAGAGAGAGAGAGAGAGAGAGAGAGAGAGAGAGAGAGAGAGAGAGAGAGACAGGCAAAGACACACACATACACACAAACGCACATACACACACACACACACAGACCGACCATGTGATGTTGTACGGACGATCCATGTATGGCAAAGCATTAGCGACAAATTGGGCGAAAATGCGCCCGCTTGGGAAAGAGTGCAGCGCTTAAGAAAAGGATTGTGGTACGGTCAGCCATCTGAAGTACAATTTACTCGTGTGGGAGGGGTGGCTGAGCCAAAAATTTCGGAAATTCTACAGCCCAGATGAGTGTATTTTATTGATTCACGGTATGTCAGGGGCAAAGGTGGTATGGTCAATACCGCAGTGATCTTACTGTGTCCGACGCCCCTGAATAGTGATAGGAAAAGACCATAAAAACAGAACAAAGGTTTCACCAACATACTGGTTTACCGTTGGAGAGGCTGAGTGGATTTTCTATGCATCAACGTGGGCTCCTTGACGAATCTTCATCAGACGTACATGTATGTCCTGCGTTTTCGAGAGGTTCAAGTCAGGACGGAGCGTTGGATTGGCAAAGTGAAAGGGGTCTCCGATTGCAGAACCGTCAAAGCCGATCGTGGGCTGTGATTGCATGATCCTAGGTGCCAACACACGACGCAAATCGGCCATCATGGTGTGGTCGGCCGAGTAGGCCGAGTAGCCGGTGAGCATGTCTAATGCGATTGGCTCTTTCTTTTCCGCTCCGGCTGGTTCTTGTTTCTCCTTTTCGTTGGGTTCGGTCTTCTCCTCCACCTTCTCCGGCCACCACCATTTTTTGAACAGTTCCCACAGACCAGTCAACAGCAGAAGGTGTTCGGCTAATGGCTTGAAGCTGTTGAAATAAAACGACGATCCACTCTCCAAGGCAACTCGAGCAGAACTGCCAGAAAAATAGTCACCCGTTCCTCCGTCAAACGGCTCAGGAGGAGGAAACTGCCAGCTCGTGCCTCCGTCAAACGGCTCAGGAGCGGGACACTGCCATTTCGTGCATTCGTGAGTTTGCTGCCCGGCAGCCATTGCTCCACACGTCTCCTACTCGACACACAGTGCTCGGTCTAATACTCCGACGGCTTGGTCAAGCTAAAATGAGCACAATAAAACTGGTCACACTGCTTGGCAGCTTTGCAAACGATTCTCTCGATCGCCTTCGGAAGCCTACACGTACATTGTACATGGCATTGTCATTGTGTACGTGGTCTTGAGCTTGCTCAGTTCGCGCATGAGGGCCTTGGCTTGGGTGAACCGTGCCATTTCTTTCCCCTCGAGTCGTAGCCAGCACGGCATCACATGCATGTGATGCGAACTGCGGAGCGCATGTTTTCTCATCCCTTTCACTAGTTGTAGTGTCCCCATGCAGAGGGGTGAAACGGTCCCATGTTTTTCATGTTCGAATACCCTAACACAGGTCAGTGTCCCAGATATTTCGATGAAAGTAAAAGTTTCTGTGAAACCCTGTTACTAGTACAAAGTTCACCACGATACTGCTGAGCGCATGTTTTCTCATCCCTATTATGACATAATACATTGTAGCGTTCCAGATATTTCGATGAAAGTTTATGTCACGAACCGCGCTAGGCTCATGAGTCATGACGAGACTGCTGAGCGCATGTTTTCTCATCCCTATCATGTAGTGTTCCAGATATTTCGATGAAAGTTTCTATCATGAACCCCGGCTCATCACGAGACCTTCCCTACCTACATGATTGTACTACAGTCGACCTACCCTTATACATGTATCGGCTACAGTGATATTGGTACGAAAATATCAAAAGCAAAACGTATTTTATCCAGTACAAATATCACTATAACCAATATTATCGGATGTAATGATATATCGGATATTATGATGGCAACAAAGAATCAAAACATGCATAACACACTAATCACAATTATTATCGGCTATAGTGATAACTTTAAAATACATGTAGCAATAATATCAAAGGCCCTATTTTTTTTACTTTCTTCACGTGCTTACTTTTTATAGTGATACATGTACATGTACATAACATATTTGGAAATGCGGGCACTGTCAACTATGCAGCATGCTCATTTGTCAAAAACGCCATGCTGGCAGTATTTCCTTGCCTTTCATGTGTCGATCGAAAAAAAGATAAAAAATCGATCGTATTGCATTATAGTGATGCATCGGTTATAGTGATAAAATCACGGAAATCAAAAGGGTACGATAGCCGATACAGACTGTTCTTTCATCGAAATATCTGGGACAAGGGATGAGAACACATGCGCTCAGCAGGTGGCAGGTACTTTCCGCTGGAGCATGCTCACGGCCACCAGGCCAGGAAGAGTGTTTCCTTTTCTGTGGGACGCGATGTACATGACATTGTAATGTGTACCGCGCAATCTGAGAATTCCAGCTTGCCTGCGCAATCTGCAGATTGCGCAGGCAGTTCCCAGCAATCTGAGAATTTGCGCAACCTTAGCAGTCCCAAATACATGTATATTAATTGCGCAGACCAGGTACGGTACCGTGCTGAGCTTCTGCGAGACTTCTGGGAGCACACCAAAGTATGTGAGGTGCAAAATTCCAGTGTGTGGTTCGCGCAATCTGTGGATTTCTCTCAAAACCTGAGAGCGAATTCATGTGGGGCGCAATCTGCGGGGGCAATGTATTGATTTCGTTGAAAATCATGAAGAGCACAGCGAATCCATGTGGGGTCAATCTGTGGCCGGATTTCGCTGGCAAAGTACATGCAGGGGAGTAGGAATGCAGAAGACGGGGCTAGAGGAAAGGAGAGTTGGTTCCTAGTGGTAGGCCTTGACAGATTAAGGTGGCAGACTACCCAAAAATTTGCCGAAAAGTCGATTTTGTAAATTCATATCGAGTGCTACATCAGTTGAAACTTGAAAGAGCATGAATAGCTGCAAATTCTCTGAAAATGTTGTCCTGATCTGACCAGCCGTTCAAGAGTTATGGCCGAAAATGTGCCCTTGCAAGGAAAGATTTTTTTGTTGCACGCTGTCATTTGTTGGCAGCACTGTATTTGAATGTGAGCAGACCGTGCGCAACTTGTCGTATCATGGAAACACGCGAAAGTGTGCAGAATTTTGCTCCTGCAGCAGGACTTTTGCCAGCACCCTCGTGACGTTGCAGATATGTGGCTTGATTATTGTAGTTGACGTTGATTTAGTGACTTTGGCAAGTTTGAGTCGTGTCAAGAAGTCAGGTAGGATTCAGTACTAGGCAGTAGCGGAACATGAGTGGTAGTCTTTGCCGGTTTCTGAGGGCATCCTGGATTTGGTGTGCAGCGCTGTGGAAATGGCTTGCTGTGGACGTCCCAGCACTGGATGTTGTATCAAAGGTACGACCTCGTAGCACGTGCTAAACCTAAAAAAATTCAAAAATTGACTTGGGTCTGTGGGAGTCCGTGAGAGAACGCCCACTCGTTCCGTTGTGACAGATTGCAGGGCCGCGTTGAGGGGCCCTACCCCACCACCCATGGCTGCATCTGGACTTGTTTTAGGTTTGGGTCCCGCGCACGGACAGCATGGGCACGAAAATGTGAAAAAAATTGTAAATGCATTTGTTTGGCTCCTGAGTGGCTCGCACACCGTGGCACTATTCCGGAAATTTGAGTTTTTCTGGCCTGGAAAGCCTGTCAGTGAGGCACAAGAACTTGTAAATCATGTCCTGAGGGCCAGCATAGTGGCAGGAGTGTGTGGTCAAAATTTCACTCAAATCCATTGAGAAACACCAAAGTTACGGTCAATTGAATGCCATATGAAATTTATGTGTAGGCTGCCCCCTTAAGCTAGCATAATTTTTTGCATAACTCCTACCAAAATCGAATAATCGCATAATTCGAGGCAAATTGCATACGAATCGCATAAAATTGGAATAATCCGCCTGTTCGTATCAAATTCCATACAGTTGTACATGTTCTACAAGTACATGTAGATGCACCAGGAAATCGTAGGTTTACGACTCCCTTGAGAACATGTCCAGTCCACTACAATCAGTGACGGTCGTGGCTAGGTCGG